TGTGTGAGAGAGTGAGTGTGTGTACCCGTCTAGGTCCTGCCTGGTGGTGACAGCGAAGGAGTTTCCGCCACTTCCAGGCCTCAGCAGCAGGTTTCCTTTCTTGGCCTCTCTCTCAAGCAGCAGCTCGGCCTCCAGACGGGACACATTGTGGTAACAACTGCAGGACGCCAGAAAACACAGAGATGAGACAAAAAGAAAAACGGATTTTGGTATGTTATTAAAAGGTGATGTATCCAGACCTCACAGACCTCACAGTTTGTATATACAGTAGTTACATACGGCGTATTTCTGCCTTTTGAGCAGTGCATGTTACAACAAGAGGAGAAGACAAGACAGCATTAATGAATGCTGACACCAAACATACATCAGTCTGCTGCATCTTTTTTAGAAAGTTGAGTGGGGTTTTAGGTGTTAGATATGTATGAAGATACATATGCTGAACAGCACTGCTATGCAAACCTGTGACCACTTTGTAAACTGTTCTGAACTGTTGAGGGCTGATTAAACAATGCAGCTGTTAAGATGCACAGACTCAGATGCAGGTGTCTACGACCTCTAGACAAGGTTGGAAATTTGGCAAAACCACTGAAAAAAAAAATCACATATTTTTATAGGAAAACAAAGTTGAACTGAGTTGCTTTTTTCCAATATGCTTCAAGATAAAGATACATAATGACTTTTTTGTCCAGGATTCCGTTAATACTGTAGAGCTTTACCTATTATGGAGACCAGGAAATCATTAAATAGCCCCAGCTGTAGCCCCAATCACCAGTATTTTACTTGAGCGTGTGTGTCAATACTTTTGAGTCTTGTCGAAACTTACGCTGGCATTTCTGATTGGAGGCGGACGTAAGGACTGGAGTTGGTGGGAACAGGTGGAGGGACATCAGGAGTTTGTATTCTTTCCTTTTCCTTTTCTATGGCCTCTTTTAGCATGTGGATCTGGCCTGGTAGCAGGTTGGCGAAGGATGGTACCGACAGCTGCAGGGAGACACACAGTTTCTGTTTTAAATGATCTGTGCAAATGAGAGCCTCATGTGAACTACCTCTTAAACATCAGTCTCTCAAACCTAAATCATGTAAAACACTTTTAAGATGCAAATGTTTATTATTGAGCTAAATGTTGTGCACCACAGACCTCAGCCACAGAGTGAATGAATCCCTTCCACAGCTCACGAGCCTCTGCATTAGGAACCTGTAGAGATAACGGAGGAGAGAAAAACTGTGAAAACAGGAAATTACCATCAAAAAAAGAGGATGATTTTCATATTTTCTATATATTCCCTCACAGTGAATTTGATATTTCCATTCTTCATCTGCAAGTTGAATCTGGCTGCATCTAAGTTACGATCCTGGCTGTTGTCATCTGTTATCGAGATCAAACCACTGAGATCCAGTTTCTCTATGTACTGATGAAACACACACACACACACACACACACACACACACAAATGAAAAGACACACAAGTGTTGGCTTTATTAAGAACAATTATGTTTCTTACGTTAACCCAAATGTACATGATTACTTACATCGGTGTCTCTCTTTTCATTGAAGAAGAACAGTGTGTTTCCACATAGGCAGGTCCACAGTTTCCGAGATGCCTGCACGCACACGCACACACACACACACACACACACACACACACATACAGAGAGAGAGAGACATGCTGAATAAAATATATCATACCAAGCAAGTAGAAAATGAAGAAGAAAATCAAAGAAGAACACACGGGTGTAATTGTGCGGGAAAATGAATGCTTGTTTCACAACAAGGAAATAAATTGGGCAGCTGTAGTCATTCTTGGATTGAGACTGGATGAGTCAAGCATTTGTATCACAACAGAAACTAATGTTTGATATTAATAACATTATTGGGAATCAGATATATGTGAGTGTGTCACTGGATTAATTTGTGTGTACGTTTTGAGGAACTGCATGAGTCACTATTGTCTGCCATCGCCAATGCAGTGCATTATAATGGGACTTTTGTGTCTTTGTGTAAAAAGTTTCCCCTATGCTCTTACATGGTGCCATTAGAGTGTACGGTCCGTCTGCCTGAAGCCTGACTCATTAGTTTGCATCTTTGGTTTCCTGTCAGTTCTTGGTATGCTCTAAACTTTATGGCACAATAAGCAGAGAAGCAGTCAGACCAGTTGGAGAGACGCAGTGCTGCTGGAAAACTCAAAGTCCACAGAATTTACAAGAAACTATATAATGACAGATGGGCTGCTCCACCCACTGAGAGCAACACCAACCCTGTTCATTAAGTGTGCCAGACCACTGTACTGTCTTACATATTCATCAAACAGCTGCTAAAGAGTAAAGATGACAGGAGTGTTATTAAAATCCCTGGGAGCTTCTGCACATTGTTGAGGAGCCATCATTCTTGTTTGTTTCTCTCTATTTCACAAACACACACACACAAACACACACACAAACACACACCTGACCTATTTCAAACATACACTATGTGGTCATTTACAGCTGAAACAGTTAGCTGATTAATCGATTAGTTAAAAGAAGAAACACTGGCAACTAAATTGACAGTCAATGAATCCTCTCATTTTAATTTCCAATGCTTCGCCTTTAGGTGTACTAAATATCTTTAGGTCTTTTCAGTGTTGGTCAGACATAACAAGCTACAAATGTAGACGGCATTTTGGGCTTCAGGAATTTATAAAGCATTTATTTATGCAAACATTGTTTAATTGAAAAAAATGTTGACAGATTATTTGACAATTAAAATAATAAAATAATTGTTAGATGCAACCCATACAGTCAATAAACCGTATACTCTTTTGGCAATAACATCCTCTTTCGTGCTCAGCATCCAGTCTTAGTCGTTAATCGTGTTTTCTTAAAACTTCTCTTCTAGTAAAAGTTGTTTTCTCTATTTTTGTGATAATAAATGAGCTTAAAAAACACAGATAAACAACAGATACAAGAATATAAAAGTCTTAATAATACGCTTTTTGCAGTCCATGTGACCTGTTACAGACAGAAATGTCTCTAATGAGCTACCTTATCTTTGAACGACCTCTTCTCCAGGTATCCCTCATAGTAACACGTTGGCAGCTGGGTCCTCTCTCTCGCTGCTCGCTTTGCCATCCCAAGGACTGTAGGTAATTTAATAAATCAGTTATTTACACGTTTCACTGAGACTGTGAAGTAGATGTTTCCTCTAACATGTCAGCAGTGTCTGCTTGGTCGTACTAAATCTCGGCTTTTAACCTGTCTGTCACTAAACTGGGGAGCGGCAGCGTCCTCGACGCTGATTGGTCAGTGTGTGTGGAGTGGGCGGGTGTTTTTAAACATACAGGTGACACCACCTGCCTGAAGGCCTCACTGAAACTAGTATTACTTCAACTGGCAAAACAAGCTCATGTGAAAATGAGACTGGTTGCTGGAAAAGACTGAACAGCATGTGGACATGTGAAAATGTGTCCTACTTGTCAGCTTTTGGACTGTGGACCCCACTGACAGTATATATAACTGCACTATATATATACTATATAGTGTATATATTTGGACACCCAAAGGCTAGAAATGTGACAGCTAAGCAGCAGTGAACTGAGTATTCAGATCTTTTATCTAAAAAAGTCCTTGCTGCAGTGACCATGTGTTCAACCTCTGGCCCTTTGCTGCTTGTCATCCCCCCTCTCTCTCTCTCTCCCACCTCTCCTGTCACTGTCACTGTCAGCTGTCACTATCCATTAAAGGCAATAAAAGCATAATATATGTATACGTGTGTGTGTGTGTGTGTGTGTGTGTATATATAAAGGCTCTCATTCAAAATACTCAGTAGCCTAAATGTGCAGTTTGACACTAGAAGATTTTTTTTCACATTTATCTGCTGA